ATATCGTGCTATCTAGTTTTATATCTATATAAATTAACCGGATTAACCGGTTAAGCATAATTTATTCCGGGATAGTACAAGATCGGGTTGTCGGATAAACGGGTGTAACCTCTATTTTTGGGTGTAAAAAAAAAAAAGCCCAATGTAATACAAATCATGTGATAAATCAATCAAAATTTGTATAAAAACCCAAATTCTCCCACATCGTTCACATGCACATCCCTCCAAGTCACGTGTACGCGGTTGAAATACCCATAAAAGTCCCGTATTTAAGAAGTATGTGACAAAGAAACTCCATAATTCGTTAATGGTTTTGGTTGGTATTTGTATTACTTCTTCAGAACCATTGCTCGATCGGGGGAGTAAATTCATGATCTCATTTAAGGCTGCAAGATTATTATTCGAAGCAGTTTCATCAAATTCGTTCAATTCCTCGGCTGCGTCGTTTTTTAAATGCGTATTATTTTCCGAGCCATTTTGATTACCTAATCAAAGAGAAAATTTTTAATAAACTGCAAATAACCAGACTGTTAAATGTAAATTTTCTATCAAGATTATAGTCGTTTTAGTTCACCTTGATTGTCTAAATAAAAATGTCCATAACACTTTGGCTTACCTTCGTGATGCTTATCCATGTTTATATTTTCAGTTATAATATTAGATGAATCTAATCGTTCTAAATAATTTAGGATTGATTGCACAGTTTGCTGATTATTTTTATTAATGCAATTTTTAATAAATTTATCAGTTGTATTCTCTGATAGATTTTCGAGCTTTTTTGAAATTTCATCTGGTGTTGGACGCTGGTCAAGTTCAGAAGAGCAGCACTTAATATAAATATCAGCATAATCTGAAAGAGTAGCGTCAATAAATTTCTTCTTATTCAGAGAATTACATATTCCTAAGTCTGTAGAACAGGGTGGAATTCCATTCATAAGTTCCCAAAGTAGTACGCCCAGGCTATAAATATCGGATTCCTTATCACGTTTTGCACGTTTTACTCCGGGGAGGCACCGTGGGTCGATGTAAACTGGTATGCCCATCACAACTGAGCTTGTAGTCGCAGTATCATCTAATCGTTTTGATATTCCAAAGTCTGCAATCAAAGCGTTACCATTATCTAACAAAATATTCTTGGAATGCTAAAAAAATTTATAGTGAGTTAGAAATCTAGTTATGATAATTTAATAAGAATTAGAAATTTTTTTTTAAAAAAAACAAAATTTACTAGATCCCGATGGATAATTTTATTTCCGTGCAAATATCTTAATCCAAAAGTAATATCCAGTGCGATTTTGATGAGTTCAACCCATGAAATTATATAATAATCATTAACATGCTTTGTTTTTAAATAATCTCGAAGGTTACCGCCATTGGCAAGTTGTAACACAAGCATGAAATTGCTCGTTAGTGAATCTAGAGTTATTGAGCGAATAAGGACCAAGTTGATGATTCAAATATGAACTCAGTAAAAAAATTGTTCTTTTAGTATACCTCTTGAAATTCCATAAAATTTAATAACATTAGGATGATCAGTCTTATATAAAAGTTCAAGCTATATATAAAATTATATGTAATACATATTCAGTAAAATTGAATGTTAAGAATTTAGATACCAAATAATAAACACATTACCTCACGCACGAATTGTTTGAATTGCTCATAATCGAGCGACAAGTTATTGTTCAGACTTTTCAGTGCATACTTTTCTTCTAGGAAAACGGTCGAATATACGATTGCAAACCCACCGCGTCCAATTTTTTCGAGCTTACTAAATTTTGAGTAATCAAAACTTTTTATATTTGAATCTTTACAATACTTTTCTAACTTCTCTGAGTAATCAACTAATATCGCTATAATTGACTATGTTAATAAATTGCATTTATGTTAAAAATGCTATTACTGTATCATGATAACTTACATGATCTATTTGACATGACTTCAGGACTGTGTAAATAAAGGATTTTTAAGATTTCTATTTGTTGAATCGTCTGGTAAACAGAAAGACTGGTTGAAAACAATAAAAAATTCGGATTGCGACTCCGTATGTGCATTTGCAGTATTAACCTTACAATCGAGGTAGGACCGTCCATGTTACACAGACGATCCAATTGATAAAAAAATTTTTTTTATACGTTTTACAATACT